TGGTCTATGAGTTATCCTTAGGTCGAAGCAAGGCAATGAATTCTTCATATTGTCCCTTGGTTAAAGAAACTGGTCTTTCATTTTTTTCTTCATCGTACTTGATTGGTTTGCAAAACCCCCTTCTCTCCTCTGGCCTTTGTATAATTTATGGTTTGGAGGGTAACCATGTAGCTTAAAACACTTCTCCATAGTGTGTCCTATCATGTTGCAGTGTATGCATATAGGAGCCTCAATATTTCTTGCTTTGAAACATTTGTCCAAAGTATGTCCAGGAATTTTGCAATATGTGCAATATGGTCTGTCTTTCTTACTAGTGACATTCGATTTTCCATAGCTGAGTGATCTGTTATCGCCATAGAGTTTCCTAGTTGTCCTTGCAATGGCTTTATTGTTTACAGTAGTGGAGGTAAGTTGTTTCTGCCTCTTATACTGCTGTATATAGGAAAATACCTTGTTAACTGGTGGAAGAGGATCTATCATCATGACTTGAGCTCTGGTGTTATCATAAATTTCATTCAACCCCATCAAAAATTTTATCACACAATCACACTAATGTCTTTCAACTAGCACCTTCAATTGTCCACAAATACATTCTGGAATATGATCATAAACAAATAGTTCATCCCAAATCGCTTTTAGCTTACTATAGTAGATGCTTACAGAGTCATTTTCTTGTTCCAAATCAGCCAATGCCTTCTTCAGTTCATATATCGTGAGCCCATTTTCCTGAGAAAATCGATCATTAAGTTCTGCCCATATCTTATTTGTCTCATCCATGAATGCAACACTAGATCTAAGAGAAGGAGATATGGCATTTTGGATCAATGACACTACCATGTCATTACATATTTCCCATGGATCAAAAGATTACTGGTTGGTTCAGGTTTAAGTAATGTTCCATTCATGAAATCGAGCTTTTTTTAGCTTGGAGTGCTCACCGGATAGATCTTGACCAAGTAGGATAATTATCTATGGTTAGTAATTCTCTGACTAAAACAGCTCCTGTGTTATCTGAATTCTCTAACCTGTAATGATTAGAAAGGTCAAGAGTGTGAAGGGGAGTTGTGTTTTCACTAGTAGCAGAGTTCATTCAAGCAAGGGTGGTCAATGCTCTGATACCATGTAAGATAACACGGTAGAATGTAGATAATAAAGGAGACTAATGGCTTTGGATTGAATCAGAATTTCATCTCATTTCACAGCAGCAATACAAGTGCAAATATATAGAAGACAAGAAGGGGTAAATGAGTAAAAGAATCATCCTAACAAACTATATAACATAAAGAATAAAATTGCACCTAACCATGTGCTACACCACGAGCTGACAGGACACCTAGATGATAAGCTAATGGCCTTATGATAGATATACACATTCAGCTGATAAGTTAACTTCCTTATGGTATATACATTATGCATTCCAACAGAACCCATTAAATTTATAATATATTTCTCCCTCTTTTTTTAATCACATTTGTCAATAAAATAATATTTATTTATTTGGGCTTTTAAATGCTTTGCATGGGCCAATTATTGTATTAGAAAAATTGAATTTAAAATCGAAAAAATCGTTATTGGTTCACCAATTAGTGGTTCAATTGGTTGGCTCTATAGTTTTTGACCGAATTTTTATTTTTGGTTAATAACATATAATATATTCGAACTTTACACTGGTTCCCAATTTTACTGGTCGAATTGGGCATATCGGACCGAGCCGATTTTAATAACCTTGGTATTATAATTGAGAATTAAAGTTTTATATTAATAGAAAAGAATTAAGACTCTCTGTGTACAATAGTAATAGTAGTTAAGGCTATAAGATCGAATGATCATTATTAATTCGTATTTGAATACAACATTCCCACTTGAATGACTAATTATACAATATATGTCTTGTTAAAAACCTTGTTTGATAAAAGGTCGATGAAACAAAAAATCAAATGGAAGGAAAAAATGGAACAATTATTTTTGAAGAATAAAAAAACACAAGTTGCCTCACAAAAACCTTATTAAAAAACAAAGAACTCAATGATATTGACAGGGGCGGACGTAGACTTTTTATGTTGGGGGGCACAATCAAACTTTCAAAAAGTAACGAAAAAATTAAAGTAAGAGATATTTTATTACAATTGTTCTCTACGTGTTCTCATATTTTGATAACTTCCCATAATTAAAGTGAGAAATAGAGAAAAATTTAATGTAATTTCGTAATTCAAATCAACAAAGAAATTGAGTACATAATCTTGGTCATCAAGAGCTACACAAACTTTGATAAAATCCAAGTCACAGATTTATATGTACATTTCTTAAATTCTGAAACTTATTTAACAGATGTAACAAGTAAATCAACAAGGGACTAGGAAATGGTAAGAGCTAGACTTATTTTCGATGCATCAAATACCAGAGAAACAATCGTTGCTCATTCAAGTTCAATCATATTGCACAACTCTTTCTTTTGATTACATTCAGTTGGACCAGATTCTTTTGGACTAAAAGGCTCTCGAAATTTCCTTAAAAATGTCGCTTCAATTGAGAATTTCACTCGTAAATCTCATGCATTACAAGAATGTAAATAAATTCAACTAAGAATTCTTCTATTCCTATTCATTGATCTAATCCAAGTATACGATCATTTTACACTGATTACTTCGTTTAGTACTGGTTTCAGCACTATA